GATATGATCACTACATTGACTGTGGTTTCACAGATACGGAGATACATATATATATATATTACCAAATTGTACTTTTAATTATACCTTAATAAAAATGTTGGAGAAAAGGCATTGTGCCAAGTGGAAAAGCCAGCGATGAAAGGCTTCAAGCTGAATGACTTCACCTGTGTGTCTCTCGAGTCAAGTCCATGCTACTGGGAAAAAAAGAAGAGGGGTGTTTGTCCGAGGTCACAGGTTGGGGGAGACTGTCTGAAGGGACAAGGGGATATTTTAAAGGATGGGAAACCTTCGTTACTTTGATTTTGGTGTTATTTGTGTGACTATATCCGTTTGTCAAAATTAATTGGATACCAAATTTTTCCATGTGTCATTTGTAAATCAACAAACTTTATTAAACACAAAATGAAAACATCCACAGCTGCTCCAATGATTGAGATGCGTGAGAAGAATTTAGGCTGCTTGGGGACAGATTCAGGGGGATATCACATGAACTGGGCTATGGTTCACACTCCCCAGAGTGAGGATGACACAGATCTGCAGGTCCCAGGGTTGGGGTGGGGTGGGCGCTCACCTGGATCATGCAAACCTGCCTTCCTCAGGTGCTCAGCCTGAACAGGCCCATTTGGTATCCTTTGTTGGGATGAATGAGGAAAGAAACAGCCATCCTAAATCCCTGGTGCTGGGCTGCAGTGGGGTTCAACTTTGGGTCTTCCTGCCATGAAGAGTCTGAGAAGATTGAACAACCCACTTCTGCCCTTTGGATCTCAGTTTTCCCATCTATAAATATGAAGAGGATGGGTGAGGTAGACTCCAAGGACCCCTGAGACCAGCTGGTCCTTCCAGGCAGTAGAAATCTGGGGGCTCGGAATTGTGAGACTCACAGCAGCACCACCAACTGCCGTGGGCACTGCTGGCTGCCATAGCCAGTGCTCACCAGCTGAGCACGCGGAAGGTAGAGAACTGACCTTTGACCTTTGTCTAGATACACAACCTGAGAGTGGGAGGGCCTCTCCAAGAGTCCCTGAGCTTCCCACGATACAGAATGGCCAGAGGTGTCAGCAACACACTGAGCATGCAGGAGGACCCAGAGCTGACCAGCCCAGGAGTCTAGGGGGTGGCTCCCCTGGCACACTCCTGGAAGCAGGTGTTCAGTTGCCCAGCAGAAGACGAGGAGGCCCACAGGGTCACCCTCCACTCAAGGGAAGAGCTGTGGACGCAGCCACTCAGCTGCCTTTCCAAGAAGACCATGTTGGACCTCGGAGATGCTGCTCACTTGATGTCCTCTGCCTACAGAACTCTCCATGGCTCAGCTAAGCAACAGCAGATGCAGAGACCATTGCAACTCTCACTTCATCTCTGTTGGCAGAGAGGGCATGGGGGAGCTTCAAGTCAAAATATACTGGAACCAGCGGACAAAGG